GTACTCTTCTTCATTTTGATCTTCTTTTGATGATGGCGGCTGGGATAGTGAATTGTGAATAGTTTTCTCTACGATGAACAATCGATTTTTGCAGGTTTCGACTGAATCCTCTTTTGTTTGACTGCCTTCCTTCTCTCGTCTCAACCCGACGATCCAACCCGACCCAACCCAAAAATATAAGAATTGGGTTGGGTTGGGTTGACCTTCTTGTTCGGTTCCATCGGTTCTCTATTCTACCCAACCCAAAAATTCGGGTTGGTTCAAAAAACTCCCCTAACCCGACCCAACCCAACCCGTGAACACCCCTATCAGGGATGAATTACTTTGAAACCAACTCTAGTTTTGTCCTTTGTTTTTAAAAAATAATTATTTAAAAAAATCCGATAAATATTTCTTAGTAATTGAATTTTAAATCGTTACGTAGGATTTTAGAATTGACTTTAACCACTTTTTGTTCAATTTTTATACAAATAATAAAAAAAATTAATTTAAAAATTAAAAAAATATATTTATAATGCGAACTGGTTCTCCTGATCGAGGAATCCCCGCCCCACCCCACCCCTTGCCATCCCTAACTTACATGGGTTCGTTTCTTAAGTGAGAGAATATACTCAGACGATGTCGTTCCACTAAAGGAGCTCAACTCCTCAACTTCACCAATACGCTACCGTTCTAATTAGTTTCTAAATATTCGTAGGATGTTGTCGTTCTGTACTTAGTGGGTATGCTATTTTTAGATTTTCCTTATTCTTTGAGATGAGGCTATCGTGGCTCGTGGCTCTTCTCCATTTGTTTTGTTGAGGCTTAGTTTTTGAAAAATCTTCTGCTGCTGCTCAACGAGATTAAGGAAGGTTTTCTGAAAATCTATCTAATTTATATTTTGATTTTATCTTTTTTTTAGATATATTCTTTTTGATGTTTTGCTTATTAATAAAAAACGGTTTTTATAAAAATTATTAACCAAAAAAAATGTTAACTTGTAGCTTAAGTGACCAAAAAATTACGAGTTCAATGTCTCTTCTACCAATCATAGATTTGAATAACTTTCTTCCATTTATAACGTAATGTTTTTCTTTTTTAAACTATGAATATAGTATCACCCAAACATGATAAGACAAGGTGTAAGAAAATAAAATTATGTAACCCCTAGGATGGAGCTACAAAATTTACTGGAACACTAGTTTTGTGTTAGCTATAGAGTAGGATGATACGAAAATTTTAGTAGGATCGACATGAAGAAAGAATCCCAATTATATTTAAAAAATTCAACTATTTAATTAATTTCTTATTTTTAATACTTTAAAACAAAACCATAAAATTCCACGTTTCTTATTAGTTAATAACTTAAGGATAATATTTGATCCTTAGTGGTGAGTACTAAGTATTATCATCTCTACCATTAAAAAATCGACAAAAAATATTTTTACATCTTCTCTTTTAATTATAATCATTTATTGTTGATGGGACAAGATTCTTCCGATGACAAGTATTTTTCATAACTTAATAGAAGGACCCAAAAGTATTTTCCAAGGATGTTAATTTCTTCATCCGTAAGGAAATATTTGGAACCGAACGACGCGTTTAGTCCCAAATACCAAATTTTCTCAAATATCTTACTTTGGTTGGGTCCCTTCCTCCCTCCCCTCTCTCTGTTTTTTTCTTCTTGATTAGGTTGAGCTTCAATCGCAGTCTCGCCATTTCTCCTCCAATTTTCTACTGCCATCAGAGCTTCCACACTTGTCGATTCTTCAAATTCAGTTTCTTGGTGTCTTTCAATTGGGCGGTGAAAAGAAAAGAAAAGAAAAGGGATTTCGTTTCCATCTCCATCGGATCGGATCTTCATCCCCATGTCGATGCTCGATTCCTTCTTCAACAAGGGCTTCAAGGCTGCAAAATGGTATCCATTGTTCTTTGAATCTTGTTGAGTCTTTTTTTTTTCTTCCGGTTTTTATGATTTAATCTGGCTTGTTTTGATTGTAATTTTGGATTCTGTGTCCAGTAAAACCCTGCTCAAATTGACAATTCCTCGAATAAAGCTGCTGAGGAATCGAAGAGAGATTCAGCTTAAGCAGATGCGCCGAGATATAGCCAAGCTTCTCGAGACTGGTCAAGAAGCTACTGCTCGCATTCGGGTATGTCACTGGTTTCTCAAGTTCAGTAGATCAACTGGATACCAAAACGGGAAGGAGATGAATAAAAGGGCATTGGATTGATGTCGTAAGACATTTTGTTGTCTTAATTAGATCTTTCTTTTGCATTCAGGTAGAGCATATAATCAGAGAAGAAAATATGATGGCTGCTCAGGAAATTCTTGAGTTGTTTTGCGAGCTTATCGTCGTTCGCCTTCCAATTATTGAAACACAAAGGTAACATTTTCAAATTGATTTATACTTTATACTAACTGGTTTCCTGTGTTTATCTAATATAATAGATTAGATATATATAGTTTTAGTTTAGAATTTCCTGCATAAACTGTGACTATGGAGCTGCATCATTTCGCCCACAAAACTAAAGAATTTTGGGTTAGGATGTTAGATCTATTAAAGAGTTTTAAATAAGAGTCCACTAGATCATGGTTGAACAGTTGAACACAATAGAAAAAAGAAGGAAAATTGGATTTGCTTGTTGGACACGATAGAGAAAAGACTTGTTTTTTTTTTTTTGTCATTTAGTTATTTAGCTATATGGCTTGGTATTCCTTAATCAAGTGTGACTGAGGAGCTGCATCATTTTGAAACATGTAATTGATGTCTAAATTTCTCATGAATGTTGAATCTACGGCCCTTTCTTTCCCACTGTTTAAACTTTAAGTGAATTTGTCTCAATCGTGTTTGCCCTTGTCTATTAAAAAATGGCTTGTGGCCTTCTCTGTCTTGGATTATCGTCGTGTCTATATGACTCATCAGTAGAGTCCATATATGTGCTTTTTGGTTGATAAAAATGCGTACTTTAAATATGATTGCATTTCACTTTAAAGTTTGAATAAATTTCTGGTCATAAAGAATTTTAGTGAATTATGTGAAGAATATTCTTTCATCTGAGTTTGAAATATTGGATATACAATTCACAATTCAGGAAGTTAGTTCTGGATTGGACATTGTTAATAATAACTAAAGCTAGCTCTCCAACCTGATCATCCGACTTCTCCTATTCCATATGAATCAAAACATCACGACTTCCAATGTGTAAATTAGTAGCAATTGATTTTAGTTTAAGGGTGTATATGCAGATTGATAAACTTACATGCAGAAACTGATTGCTGTTTGCTGTGTTCTTTTGAATTCTCAAATTCTTGTGGTAATAGCTTAAGTCCCGAGTTACTTGGAACTTAAAATTACAGGTCCAAATTCGCCTTAACCGACCTTACTTCATCTGTGCATTCCTTGCTTAATATGTGCTTATTAGTTGCAGACTCTAGACTTTTCATTTAGTGCAACTAAATTTCCTCCTCATCAAATGTAATCTTTTTTTATTTTTTTATAGGACCCATCAACGAAATCTTGGTGTTAATAGTTATATAATGCTATATATCTTTCTATTCTTGTTTCTGAATGCAAATGAATTTTTCCATTCTAATTTTTGCTTGTTTCGTATTGAACTCCCAAAACTTTGTAGGGAATGTCCCTTAGACTTGAAAGAAGCAATCTCTAGTGTGTGTTTTGCTGCTCCAAGGTGTGCAGATCTTACTGAGCTTCTCCAGGTTCAGCTGCTTTTTGCAGAAAAATATGGGAAGAATTTTGTATCAGCAGCAACCGAGCTCTTGCCTAACTGTGGTGTTAATCGCCAGGTTCACAGAATTTCTCGTTTATATTTGATTGATTAGAAGTAAAACTTTACTGCAGTCATAGGACGACGTATTTCCTTTTCAATTTTGGTTGCAGTTGATAGAGCTGCTTTCTGTTCGTTCTCCTTCACCTGAAAAGAAACTGAAGCTCTTAAAGGAAATTGCCGAAGAGCACGACTTAGATTGGGATCCTGCTGGAACTGAAGCTGAGTTTAACAAATCTCCAGAAGATTTGCTTGTAAGTGCCTGTTCCTTTTTGTCTCAACTTTTGCCGACTCTTCACGTCTTAGTCTCTGTTCTCTTTCTTTGCAGAACGGATCGGCAAAGTTTATCAACATGGAAAGTTTACCCCTTCCCAAAGAGAAACACGGCGAAACACATAATGCGGCAAAGTTTATCACCATGGAAAGTTTACCCCTTCCAAAAGAGAAACACAATGAAACGTATAATACCGCTCCTAATTTAGCCACTGTACCACAACCTGATTCTGATTCTGAATTGGACATGTTAGATTTTCCTGAAGTTCCAAAAGTATCAGTATCTCCACATCATACTGTACATGCGTCTGGCTCTGCAGCATCACTGATCCCACCTCCTTCTGCGTCGCCATGGCCGGAAACTGATCGTGGTTCATTGAGATATACTGGTATTCCTGAAATTCCGCCACAAGATTTACACTTGAGACATGAAGAGGGGATGCCGGTGAGATCTGTCTCACCTGACAACAATAAAATGGATATTTCTGTTGGTGAAGATAAACAGTTTTTGCCTTTTATTGCTCCCCCATCATTTTCATCTTCATTTTCTCCGACACAAACTGATTTGCCGCCACCCTCTGATTCAAGGACTCCTGAGAAGTTTGATTTCAAGCCCCGGCTTGAACCGGAGATAAATTCACCACCACCCTCTGTTTCAAGGACAAAGAGTGAGGTGACCGTGGATTTGCACGACGTGTTGGTAGCTGCTCAGGCTGCTGCTGAAACTGCAGAACGTGCTGCAGCTGCAGCTCGCAGTGCAGCTAGTCTTGCAAAGGTTAGAATCGATGAGCTCACAAAGAAAAAGAATGATCAAGACCATGAAATTAGTTGCGAGAATCCGTTCCACGAAGATACTGTAAGTCCACCAGATCGTAAAGAAGCATTCCAACTAAACCAACAAGATTCTCTGGGGCATCATTCTAGTTCTATGCCGTATTATACACCAGATTTCCCAGAGCATCGCCAAGTAAGCCGTGATTCTGATGTTTCTGATCACCACCAGTTCGAGCCGCAGAAATCAGGTTTCGATTCCTCTTCCAGCAATTCACCTTCTGAACACATAACTGTTCCTCATCAGCCCCAGAGGCTCCCTTCCATGGACGACGACCCGTTTTCATACCCAAACTTGTTTACAGCACAGAAACCAAATCTGGGATCTGATCATTCATCTTCTGGTGGTTCCTGATCTCCGAGTTGAATAGTATGCTATGCCGTCTAAGCTTAAGAGGTTTGGTGGATTTATATTTTTTCAGCTTTCATTTTCCAGAGCATTCTGTGTACAAAACAGTAAGAATATTATACAATTAGAATTGGTTTCTTTTAATGTATATTTTTGAGGGACTGTAGTTTGTGTTTATTTCAGAAAGTCACTTTTAGAATGCATGCCTGCTTGCTTCTTGCAATTTCTTAAGTCACCACACGTTTGTTATTTGGTCTTTTTCACTCTTAAAAGTTGGACTATAAATGGTTCATTTTGGTTCCGAATTGGAATTTCCTATAAATTTGATGTACAAAGTTATAGCGTGGACTTTTCCTTTTCTTAATAAGTAATACAATAGATCTTATGTAGCTAGAAATGAAAAACTTCAAGAAGGTAATAAGGATAAGATATCTTGATAAGATATCTCTCGTTGTCTCATTGGGTTTACACGAAGATAAAAATCTAACATTATTCTCTATTTTATATTTTTTGTGTATTAAATTTCAAAAGAAATTCAAGAACACGTTCTACTGCTTCCACTCCCAGATTCATATGAGTGAGAAGTTTTTTGGAAGAATTTGAAATATTCAAATTGCTCAATGGATTATATATATTTGTATGTTGATATTATTTTTAAATTAAAACAATATATTACAAGAGAAATGATTTAAATGAGATTCAAATAAAAATGAGATTCAAATAAAAATTAATAGGGATAAGATTCATGTTAAAATAAGTTAAAAATAATGTGTATGAGATGTACATTACAATTATAGGTTATAGAGAGAAATGTTTTATAATATGATTCTATTTTGGTAATAAATAATTAAGTGTTAATTATTTATTTAATATATATGTTATACATATATAATTATTAATTAATTAATAAGATTGATTAATTATATATATTAATAATTAGTAATTATTAATAATTATTAATATTACTTTTTATTATTAATTAAATTAAAAACTCCACTACTGAATTCCAGAAGAGTTTGGAGGTTACAGTGACGTGGGTAACTCCCCACCTCACTATTGGTTGAAATATGCAGGGAATGTCCCTACATATCTAAGGCTGCCATTTTCCCATCTCTGAGTGCTCTCTTAGAAGGGAAAAAAATTTCAATCTCTTTTTTGCTTCCAAGTTGGTGCTCCTACAAGCACTTCCTTCGTTCGCAGAGGATAGGCAGGAAGATTTTGTGGTGGTGTCAAACGGATTTATTGGAAAACCTTTGGAGATCGTCTTCAAAAGTAAGTAAAAAGCTCTCTGTTTTTTTTATTTACTGTGTTGTCAATTTTGTCCTTAAATTCACGAACACAATCCTCGTTTCCACTCCAGGATTAAGATCCTAGCTATCATTTATTAGTTTCCATTTTAAAACTAAAGAACCTAGATTTTATATATAATTTTATTAGAAATGGATGTTACTTGATATGCATCTTCTAACATTTTTCAAAGCTTACTTGTTTCCTCGCTACGCATTTGGCATATGACACTATCTAACAAGTGGAGGATAATCAGGCTATGTGTCACTCTATCCATTTCTTTAAAATCATCCTCATCCTTGCTAATACTCGCTAGAATCTTGTTTGGATCTATAAGGACGTAGTCGACTTTGTTGCCCCAACACGACCATCATTTTGATTTTCCAAAGACCAAGGTCTCTTTTTCTATCAAAATGCTCCACCTTGAACTTAGTACTCATCCTTCACAATTCAACAAGATTTGATAGTACCTCGGGAAAAGAAATATAACAAGTTTCAGAATTTACAGGAATTTACAAAATATGTATAATGCTATAAAATTGGAGATAGTATCATTTTTAGGCAATAAAGAATATTGATTACTTAATAAAAAGAAAAACTAGCTTTGATATCAATTGTTATTTAATTATATGAATTATATGATCAATTTTACTCTTTAATAACTTTTTTACTGCCTAAAACAAAATTAAACACACTAAATTGGAGGAGTTTATGCACAAAAAGATTTCAACGAATTTCTATAATAGCTTAAACATAGCTTAAACAAATTATCTTTTCAAACTTCAAAACTACATGTTTAAGCAACTTTTTAGGTAAAGGTTGGAACTAGTCGAAAGAATTACTTGGAACGAGCTTGAGAGTCACTTGACTAGGAAAGACCTGCACAAGAGAACCAAATACTTCGACACTCAAGTTAGTTTAAGTTCGACTTTGGTATTAGGATCGATCTAGAATGCAATACCTGATAATTGAGTGAAGTTCTCTATTTATATATAGGTGGTGCATTCAGACAAGGTGTTCGACCAACGATTTCTTTTGTCAGATACTTCGTTGGCGAAGGTTGGTCGGTAGGATGTGTAATTTTGGAGATAGATAAGACCTTCTGTCGGATAAGAGCTTTCTAGTGTAGTTCCATGGTTAAGTACGAAGGTCAATCATCTCTTAGTTGGTCTTTAAGGGTTTTTGATCCAAAAATGGTCAAGCTCGGAATCCGTGTAGGTCGGCAAACAATTGACGATCTACCTCGCTTTCTGAAAAACCTGCAAGACAAGATTAGCACTCCAACGAGCAATTAGACACAGTCCGATCTAACGCTCAGAATGCAAATGGATTCACATACCTTGTATAAGGAGTAGGCATCCCTTTTTATAGGGATGATCTCCAACAGGACTCCCGATAGTGGCCTAACGGTCATCCGACCGCCCTTGAAACGCGGCGTGTTGTCGGATGATTGAGTTGCTAAACACTCATGTGGACATCTTCATATAGGTCGGCTCAGAGTCCAAGTATTGTCGGCTCAGCCACTTCAAACTGTGGTGGGAGAGGCTCTATTGCTCCATTAAAGAGGAAGAAAAGGGTACGTCAGTCCGAGGAGGTTACCTCGAGATCTTCGCCTCCGTCGATCACCCTAGACTCTGAGGAAGGGTCACCTTGGGCCTGTCGATCATGTGACGGGTTCAGGTTTCCCTTCAAGCTCGAGTTTTCGCCATCGAGCATCTACGACATGGCGAAGAAGGTTAGATCCTCAACTGCCACCGAATTGAACGATCTATCCAAACGCCAAGCAACCCGACAGAGGCCCTGAGGAAGACTATGACACTGGCTACCAAGGTAAAACTCTTGCCTTTCTCCTTTGGATTGTTCTCTTCAACCTTCTAACTCCTCGAAACTTGTAGCTCTACTACCACACATGTTTGCCTACAACAATGGTGAGCTCGGAGCTCGAAGGTCGGGACCTCAAGGAGGAGGAGTCCATATCCGCCTACGAGCGTCGAATAGTTGATTTGGAGGTTGAACTGGAGTAACTCCAAACTGAGAAGGATGCAGATTTTGACAGGTCAAGGGCAGTAGTGGCTCAGGCTCGGACTGAACTCCAAAACGCCCGTGTCTGAGCTGAAACCGCCGAGAAGAGCTTGGCGAAAACTTAAGGCAAGCTCTCCAGCTGGGCTTTCTTTGAGGAGCGAATTAAGTAGTTCGTTGAATTTGACGGTCTATCTAGAAGCTCAAACGCCACTGCTCGGAGGAGGTTATTGCTACCACCGAGCAAGACTACAAAGCCATCTGGGCTGATCCCTCTTGCTGATGTTGAAGGTGGGGCCGAGGCTGCAACTACTGATCCCCATGCCAAGAACTTTGAGGATAACGCCCAAGATGTCTGAAGTTCAGTCCTTCTCGTTTTTCTGCTTATGATTGCTTCCTTGCTTTTTTCTTCTTCAACTGAAATTTTGTAATGGCGAATTTTTGTTACGAACTGAGGTAGATATACCTTGATTCTCTCAATTGATTTTTAATGAAGACTTTCTTATTATTATAAGAGCTGAGGCTTTCACACTTGAATTTTATAACTTAACTTTTATTTGCTAAGTTTCTCAAGTCTTATAACCTCGCTCAGGCCCAGTGCCTTACAAACTAAGCTTACTCAGCTCACCGGTGGGCCTATAACTGTCTTGGGAGACTAGGTTTGTATGAGCTGACTAGTGCTTCCCAAAGTTTGAAATATACCTCGATCTTTCTCATTATGGATTTGCCCAGGTCATACCACACACTCTTCCTTGGCCCCCATTTGACTTTAGTTCGAATTGGGTAGGAGACGTTGAGAATAATAGTCAAATTTCAACAAGTAATGCTAACTCATCTTTATTAATGAATAAAAAGGATTACAATCTGATTTACATAGGTCGGATATTGCCTCCTATTGATAATAGATCTGCAAATGCTCAACATTCCAGGGATGAGGAAGCTTCTTTCCATTAAGGTCTGACAGTAGATATTGAGTAGCTACTGACATTGGTTGCATAAGATGCTCCAGCAACGTCAATTGCTTCCATCATGTTGGTTAAGGCAGTAAGATTTTCATCGATCGATGTTAGAGCACTAAATTCTAACATTCTCTTTGAAACTTTTGCCGACGCCTTCAAACTCGTTCATTCACCTAAAACAAAATCAAGCACACAAGAGAGAGAAAGCTCTTTAAGCACTATATCATTAATTTGCTAAAATCAAGTAAGAAAACTTAATCCCCTACAACGGTGCCAAAAACTTGTTCACTTCCTCACAACTAGGAGAAAATTGGTGCAAATATACACCAAAACAATCTGTTGTAGTATAAAAACAAGGTCGTCTCCACAGAGATTACAATTTTACTTGAAATAGTAAATTAGAATACCAAAAAGCAAATTTAAAAATAAAATATTAAAGTCGTATGGTTGTTGTAAAGGAAATCAACAAAAACAGTAAATAAGCAAGAACAGAAATATTCTGCGATTCTGCTCTAGAGCATCCAAAAATGGAAAACATGCTGAAAATGCGAAATGTGATGTGAAATGAAGGTAAATTGAGGGGGAATCACTCTAATGCTCTCGCTCACATCTAGCTATGCTCTAGTAAACTCAAAACGTTAGAATGCCCAAACCGACATGGCTCACTCCTGAGATACCCAAACATGTTTAACCTCAACTCCCGTGTAGACTAAACAAACAATACGAACAATTTATAGGCTCGAAAGGATGAGTCTCATCCCTGAGTACTCACCATTCTACTTCAAAGAGATAAATCTTACGCAAATAGAGGCAAACACGCAACACAAGGACTTTCCCAAGCATCAAGTGAGCATGGCAAACTAATAATGTTGGCCAAATAAAATCAGTAAGATGCAATAATAAAAACACCTCTATTAAATCAGCATCAATATATATGAGTTACTAAAACATAAATAAA